CTCCACAGGCGGTTCGGACGGTGATAGCGCAGATGATGATGAGTGGGGTGATGAGTCTCAGCAGCAACAATACCAATCGAGAAATCGAGACGCTGATCAACGCCAGATGACGAGTTATGCGATCGGCACTGGCGATGAGGGCGACTTCGACGCACCGATCGAAAAAGGACACATCTTCGAGCAAGGGTTCGTTTGCTGATTGAAAGTTATCGTTGATGTTGGCTGACTTTTAATTGGTCAAATTCAAGACGAAAGAAAAGTTTACTGAAGGCATTCACTCATTTGGTTTGGAAAGATAGCGCGATTAAGCGGCATCATATACATCTATGAAAGTGATAGAGCGATCAAAAAATCGCATGACTATGAAGGCTAGTTGCTGGAGCTTACAACACTACGTCAGGTTGTATCATATCGGGGTTAGGATTTAATCACGAAAAAAAATATTATTACTGCATTCAATCATTACATTCCTTGTATGCAAATGGAAGAACATTATCTGAATATTGAATGTTACATGAGAATATGAGTGACGTGTATGTTCTTTTTTCGCAATTTGTTATTCGTTTACTGGCATCAAACAAAAGGGATATTCCTCTTCAGAGGTGCAAAATATAAACTGTGTAGGTAAGTACTTATCCGCATTCATTCACTCCGAATAGCTCTAAATAGCAATTGTTGGTCACTTCCAATTTCAATGCCAAATCCGTAGATAATGTTGCACTCGTGACATACGCTGTGAGCACAAGCTGCTTTCCGCTAGCGCATGAATTCGTAGATTCCAAGCTTCTTGAAGTGGCTTCGAGAATTCTATCCTTCAGCTGAGGATTACAAGTGGTCATCACTTTGTGATCATCTCACGTCTTACAGCTCATTTAGATCTTCAAACGAATAGCATTCAGTTTTCAAAGATGCATGCACTTAAGATGACAACTTGACGAAATCTGTACAGCTCGGAACAGGTCATTGCTGAGACGGATAGTTAAAACAGTGAAAGATGTTTTTTAGCCTAATCTTTTCAGCGATAATCTACAAAGGGAACGTGGTTTCAGACATGTTCACGGCGAAAGTTTTGGGTATATCATATGAATATTCACTTTCTGTTGCACATGCTTCGCTAATCCATTAATCCAACACGAATTCACATCACTTTCCTTTCCATGTCTGCTCGAAACGCAACGTTCAAATGGTCATGACCATGCACTCTAGCACTACTAACACGTTGCTTCGCATCAAATGGACTCTAAAATTTTCAACACTTTGGAATGCTCTGATTCGCATCATCACGAAGCTGTCTGCAAGCTTTTTTTCCGAAGAGACTTGCAAAAGAATTTGTATGCACGGATTTGATTGTGAGTTCGGAAGACGTATCGAAACAATACTGGTGCAGATATATTGATGAAATATGTGCGCTTGAAAAGGCAGTTCACAATTTTTGAATAAGAATTGCTAGTTTGTTGCACTCAGACAAACCATAGTGTAGTGTGTTGCTGATAATTGCTTAGTGGCATGCAAACAAGGCAGTAGTTTATCAATAGATTATGATTCTTGAAAATTGACTTGTAGTGATATTGCTGAACGAAACATCGTGTCAAATGATGTGTATTGTTGCATCGAATAAGATTTCAGTGAGACACGCGATTTTCTGCAATTTTTACGACGCATCAAGTATGATCATCGGCAGTTCCCAGAGAACCAGGACGGAGGTCAGTTGCAACTTGATGCAAGTCAAACGCTTCGATTGATTGATTTGCTTGGGTGATCAAGCATACTTTTTCTAGTGATACCATAAGTTGAACACTCTCCTGAGCATGCTATTCAAGTAGTTTAAAGTAATTTTAAATGCAACGAAAGCGAGAAGCTTGTGGAAGTAAAATTTGATCACGAAAAGTTATTTCGAGCATTCACTGCAAAACAACCAGACATTTTTTGAAGAGGGGTGAATCCGAATCAGTTTTCAGAGGCGGTCGTCATAACGGTTTCGATCGTTGTCAGCAATATACGGGCTGTTTCTGAAGTAACAATGGTAAGTATTCATGGTCAATCATCAGGATTTGATTTTGATGAGTATGTATAGCTTCAGAAGGCCTTACGCAGCAAAATTCTTTCCAAAGTCATTGAACAAGGAGTCTCTTATATAATCACATCATTCGCGATCCCTACTGTATCACAAAAAACTGATCATCATTGATTGATGAATTCAGTGAATCTATACTCTAGGTCAAATAAGCAAGTAGGTCAAATAGGTTTCTCGGTTTTTCATCGAACCAAAAACCCCAACGGATTCGAGAGATTTAGGTAAAAATTCAGAGATTCTGAGCCGAATACAATGAATGAACTTTGCTTTTTGGTAGAAAAACTAACAAAATCAAACAAGAACAGGACTATGCACTGGAGCTGTTTTATCGTGAATCGTGGCGTGATGAGCGACTCAAATACAACCGAACACACTTCAAGAATAAAACCGAAATCGCTCTGCATGAAAGCTATACGAATTTTCTTTGGCATCCGGATACGTTCATGCCGAATGCGATCGCGTCAAAGAATCCTCAGAAGCAGTCCATTTCACACCGTTCGCTGCTCAGGTTTCACTCCTAACTTTTTTTGGTGGTCATGAAAATGGAGCTGTGAGATGGATGGATGAGCCGAGGCAATCGATACGTTTGCTGCTCCAGTTGATTCTTTATTTCAGGCTGACTGAAGCCGGTCATGTGCTGTACAGCCGTCGGATTTCGATTGTGGCCGAATGTCCTATGGATCTGACACTGTTCCCGTTCGACTCTCAAGTTTGTAAACTTGGCATCGAAAGTTGTGAGTTTGATTGCTGAACATTTGTCAATGAGTAGGAAAAAATTCTGTGACCAAACACCAGGAGCTGGATTAATACCTGGGTTCTGCTCTGAATGTTTCATTGTCGAGTGAATTTGTTTCATCTGACCATCTTCCAGATGGATATACTGCCGACCAAGTTCGTTATAAATGGTCACATGGCGCCAAGGAAGCATTATTGCTCCATATGATTCGGCTGCCTGACTTTGCCATCAAAGAAGCTTATGTTACTAGTCATATGGAATCTTATGCTACAGGTAGGTGCGGAAACTGCTTCCTTTCATCTTTTCATCCCATCTGGACTCCTCGGTACCCGGCCAATCTGCCAGAAGACACTTAGCCTAGCGTAAAGACATATTGCATAACGAACAGTTTGCCTAACGGACAGTTTGCCGGGCGGACATTTTGCGTAACGGACATTTTGGCTAGCGGACAGTTTACTTAAGGAACAGTTTGCCTATTAGACGAAATATCCATTAAAAAACCGTAAGTTAGGCAAACTGTCCGTTAGGCAATGTGTCTTTAGGCAAACTGTCGTCAGGCTAAATGTCTTTAGGCAGATTGACCGGTCACGAGACTCCTCGATAGGAATTTCAAAAAAAAAACAATTAAAATTTTCCAACAAAGTTCAGGAAAAAGGGAATTAACACTTGAACATGCAACTGTTCTCAATGATTCATAACTCAGAACAACCGTAGACCACATTCATAAGCACAACTTAGAATAGACGCAGGAGAATTTTCAGGTAATTATAGTCGTCTGTATGTTTGTTTCGTATTCACACGATCGTCTGGATTCTGTTTCCTCCAGCTGATTGTCCCCTCAACAGCAGTTGTGATCACTTCGTGGGTATCTCTTTGGATGGAAAGCGAGACTGAATTCCAGGTTGGCTGCTCTACATCATTTCACTGTTTAGTATTACCTAAGTACCTCTGAAAGTGATGAAGAGGATTCAACAATGTGCATTAGATAACCTGTAAAATGCTGTCGATAGAACTACTTCTGATTTGGATCCGCTTACTATGGCCCTTAAACGAACCATCTGGATGGGTTCATTTACCACGACTGTTTTGAAGCAACTATCCAAAGTTGAGCATAAGTGGTAAATTGATGTTACTGATTCAAAACAAGAAATTTGTGGTCACATCCAGATTTTGTTGAATAGTTTTTGAATGAAATTTCATTAACGAATAATCCAGTGAACCGCATTCAGTTATGGCTGAATGAACGCGATCAGTTCAGTTCAACTGATTTGCTTTTGATAACCAATTGTAGTCTAACGATCAAATATGAAAAGGGAGTGCGAATGAATGAGAGTATGAATTAACCTGTTGAAATGTTCGAGAGAAAATGAATAGAAAACCATTGAAAGAGAATATATCTAATGCTGGAAAATGGTAAGAGTGAATGTGTTAGAAATGTATGAAAACGTATGAAAAACACCTCTGAAAAATCAAAATGCAT